AATCAGTCAGAAAATAGAAATTCAAGGATTTGGATCCATTTTCCAGCCCAACCCAAAGCCCAAGGAAGGCTTCTTCAGACCTGTTTCACCAGGCACTGCTCAATTCACACAGCTCATTTCAAACCTATATATAAAAATTATATCAATTTCAGATATTGGTTCATTTCTTCCTGCTAGGTAACACTAGGCCATCCTACAACAATGTGCAGTCTGATTTATGACACCAGAACTTGTCCTCTATGGGAATGGGGCTGAGAGATTACCTGCAAACCAGAAGAAACATCTGTGCAAACAAAAACAGCCAAAAAATAAAATAAAATAATATAAAATAAAATTAAAAAATGGTGGTGTGAAATTCTTGTTTCCAAATTAAATCTTCTCATTTATTTATGGCAAATAAGAGTTACAGGCAGGAAGGGTAAAGTAAGTGTAAAGGCAAAGCATGAGCAAGGGCGAAGCTGAAGTAAGTTCAGAATAAAACACAAACACTTGACAAGATGAGGGTGAGCAGATTTGTGTGTTTATATCTTTTTCTTTCCAGCCGACTTTGGCGGCCGGGGCGTTTCAATGTCCCGGTGCGGTGACACAAAGCCCCGGGGGGCTCGGCGGGGCCGCCGCCATCACGGGCCCCTCACGGGCCCCTCACGCCGCGGCTCCGGCGCCCCCTGGCGGCCGCTCCCGCCGAGCTCCGTTATTCCCAGGGAAACGCAATGTGCATTAAGACCAAAACGTTAATTTTACATTAAAAATCAACGTCTTAAAATGAACTTCAAACTGAAATGAACGGGGGCTTAAAATGAACGCAGCTTGAGCTGCTAAGCCATAACATCGAGGGAAAGAAATGGACTCCCTCACGTCACTTTCTCATTTTAAAAAAAAAATAAAAATAAACAAACCAGGAAAATGCAAACATCTAACCAGCCGAAATATTGATTTCCCAGCGGGTTTGAAGCATGCGGGCCTGCCAAAGGGTCAGCAGGCTGATCTAGGCCATGTGTGACCAGCCTGAGCACACAGAGACGCTCAGGACCGCAAATGCCACATTCCCAGAGGCCTCAGCTGAAATCCAAGGAATTCCAAGGAATTCCCGGAGCCAAAGGAACCTCTGCCTCATTCTGCCCAGCACTGGGGTCCCCACCAGGCCAGCCCAGCTCCCCAAGCAGAGAATCCCTCAGGCCACATCCAGTGCCAGAGCGAACGTCGCATCTTCCCAAAACAGCTGTTGGGATGGGACCGATTTACTTTGCCTTTTATTTACTTCCCATTGGGCTGATTAACATTTCCTAATGAAAACACATCCATAAAAGCTGACTTGATAATGCTGATGGCAAGTGACAGCCCTTCCCCTCAATGCGGCTGCACCAGGATTAATTTGTCATCTCCCATCCCTTAACAGAGAAATGGTGCTTTGAAGTTCTCCTTTTAGACACCTTTGTTCAACACCACACGCGAAATACTATTTGGATCTGGAAATAAAATACCTCTGGTAGATTTTTTACACAGTGCAGACACATTCCTTAATAAAATACTAGTGAGTTTGCAAATAAAACATCCAAAAATATTGTCAGCAGCACAGCATCAGAGCAAAGTGCAAATTGTGAGGCAGCAGTGGCCTCTGCCATCACATACCTGCAACTCCTGTCTCAACACACACAGGTTTATTTTTATTCTGGGCACTATTAGATCAAAATCTGAGTGTTACAGCCATCCAGATGAGGTAAAACCCCCTTGGTTGAACTGCTAAGGCTACAGAGGCAGAGTCAACTCTGAAACCAAGTTTGACTCCAACCCTTTTGTTTCACGCCCTGTGATAGTAAAATTTTATCCTCTAAGTATTTGAACATTTGCTCCTTTGTGGTGTCAGAGACTCACATGGCCCACAGTTAAATGGGTCAGGGAAAATCTGAACGTAAAGCAGGGCAAGATGTGTAGTTACAAATCCACCGTGAACAGAAATAAAAGCAATTCTCATGCATTAATGGTACATCAAGCTAATTCAAGAAGGCTAAAACCATTAAGAAGGCATCCTGGGGCAGTACACAGTCATTACAATACTGTGCTGACAAGAAGTATTAAAATAATCATTTCCAATGTCATTGATAGAATCTGTTCTGATAAGCAGGGGGGAAGAAAGGTCTCTAATTCTTAATTGGGACCATGAAGCAAAATGGATCTTATTAGCATTTATCTAATTTTTAAAATGCAATTTCCTTGTTCAACTATTCAAAATACCAAAAAGTAAGAAAGTATTTATTATCCTCCACCATTGGGCACATTTCTAAGCTAAACCCTTGCAACATGGAACAACTTTTTTTTATTTCAGCCCAAAATTCAGGTTTTAATTCCCAACAGGATTAAACCTCAGTGGGACATGGCTGAAGGTTAAAAAACATCCTCTAAAATAGCCAAATGTGAAGCAGGATTTTGGCTTGCCCTTTACTCAGCTTTCCTCTTACAAAATAGGAACCAATGGACTTGATCTTAAGGGTCTTTTCCAACCCAAGTGATTCTATGATTCCATCTCTGTTACAATCAATAGTGAGCTTATCAGCTGTAATGAAGTGCTGGAAATGAGATATTTGGATTTAACTCGAGAACAAAGTAGCATTTTCATAACAATAATCATTCAAGTTAAATTATTTTACCACTCAGCTGTGGAGAAAATGGGAAATGAGTTATCACAGAAGAATCGTAACAGATGACCACTAAGTTCAAGTAGCTGCTTGCAGGGGATAAATTAGAAATTTAATTTCTAAAGTGTGTGCAATGAAAGAGTAAAAGGCTCTTCAATGCCATTTCCAATTTCTTCCTCCAAAAGGCAGGTCTACATCACAGCAAAGCACAACACAGAAACAAGAAAACAGGTTTTAAAAAAAGCTTGCAAACAACGCAGCCCAAACCAGGAACTGGTGTCAAAACCCACTAATTGTGTGTGGAAGAAAGGTCTGTGGGCTGGAACACCCTCAGGTGGAAAGTTTTTTTGTTTGTTTTTCTTTTTTTCAACATCAGAGAATCCCAGAATGGTTTAGATTGGAAAGAACCTTAAAGCTCATCTTGTTCCACCCCCCCTGCCAGGGCAGGGACACCTTCCACTATCCCAGGTTGCCCAACTAATGTGGACCCTCTGAAGAAGCCACTAAAAATCATTAAAGCTACACTGAACCTGAATGCCCCAGAGCAGCACAAACCAAGAGATATTTAATCAAGTGCTCCCTATTAAGAGCTTGCACTGCTCATTCACACCCCCTCATTTAATGGGGTTAAGAAGTTGCTTTGTTTCCTGCTGAAATAAACAGCAAAAATTATCAGGAATTGGATTCGGTCCCAGACATGTCTGGCAAGTGTAACCCATCCATACAGAAGCATTTCTAATCCTATTAGCTAGCAAATATTAAAGAGCTGGTTGGCTGCCATGGGGGTAAAACAACACCCTGATATTTCTTAAAACACATGATCCCTGTCAATTCTTTCTTACGACCAAAGAGAGACAAATGAGCCTCCTGAAAGCTTACAAGTTTATCACACTAGCTTTGTGCCAAGAGACTTCTCTCAAAATCTCTGAGAAAGGGAAAAAAAAACTAAGAAGGAGACTGTAGACAGAGCCACAAATACTAGGACTGGGAATATATAATTAACAATCTAACTATAGCCAGCACTCAAAAATGTGCTAACAAAACCCCCTAATGGCTCTTTGAAACTCCTAATCAATATAGAAAATCTAGGCAGCCAAAACAGTAATTTTTGCAACTAGTTTGAGTGAAAACAGGGAGCAAAGCAAGAAGATGCAGCTTCAAAAGCTCTTCTCTGAAATCTGACCAACAGCATAGGTAAAGAACACATGGCACATCAGTATTTTCCATGTAAAACATTTTATGTTTTGCCTCTTTTCTCCCCATGTTAAAATCACAACAGTTTTAATTTTTTCTTCAGTGTAAACATTAGAATCTATCACCTTTTCGTTCCATGTAAAAACCTGAATTGTTTGCTTTTTTTTTTTTTCAATTTGAAGTGTCATTTCACACCCTGTTGTGGGGTGCTGATGTGACACTGCCTCACATAAGCACAGGCAGAGCAGGACTTTGTAAGGAGAAGCTGGCAACAAAAACCCTCCAGAACTAAGGAGCTCTGAGAAGCATTAAAACTTAATTAAGAAGGTTTTTAGACAGAGAAAACTGATGTGATGGGGAGCTGACACATTCAGCCACAAGAGGAGCCTGGTGAGAGGAGAAGCCAGGCAAGCCCCAGGACACTTGGCTGAAATTCCACTAGAGGGGGCATAGATCCCATCTCATTCAACTCCAGGATCATGAAATCAGAATATCCTAATCTGGAAGGGACCCACAAGGATCAAAACCCCTAAATAAGACTCTCAAAGAGTCACAGAATGGTTTGGGTTGGAAAGGAGCTTCAAGCTTACCCTGCCCACCCTGTCCAACATGGGCAGGGACACCTTCCACTATCCCAGGCTGCTCCTTGCCCTGTCCAGCCTGGCCTTGGACACTTCAGGGATCCAGGGACAGCCACAGCTTCTCTGGGCACCCTGTGCCAGGGCCTGCCCACCCTCCCAGGAAACAATTCCTTCCCAAGATCCAACCCCTGTCTCTCAGTTTTGAGAGAACACGGAACACTACGCTACTCAAACTCAGCATTTTCAGCTACTCTGCACAAACAGCCCCTCAGCCTCTCCACGAGCGCTAAAACCAAACCAAAGAAAACTCTGCTAAAATAAAGCAAGGACCAAAGAAAACTGAAAATTAAATAAGGACTAAAAATAGCTTAAGATGCTTAAGACTAAAGGTGCTGGTGGAGAACACATCAATGCACGTGTGATGTGTTCAAGATAAGGACTTGTCATAGAAAACACAATAAAAATGCCTAAAAAAAAATCAGCGTTTTCTTTAACTGAGCAGGCAAATATCTGAGCTATCCCAGATGGGTCACTGCTTAGAAAGAACAGCTAGAGGATGGAGTGATGTGCTGGATGAGAAAGGCAGCTGTACCGTCATGGAAGACTCTCTCCACGTTGAGCCCGTAGGTGGCACAGGTCTCGTAGTAAGTGCATCTCTTGAGGTCATTGGACAACTTCCTGGCTCTGGCATCGTCGATAACACGGGGGTTGGTGGAGGTGATGGCATCTGCATAACCACAGGGGGAAAATACCCATTAAAGGTCACTTGGAAACACCAGACTGGGAGTCACACAGGCACAGGAGGGTCCTTGAAGTTGGAACACACCTCTGAGATCACCGAGTGTTAACATCAACCTACAGTCACCCCTAACCCTCAAGTGCCACATCCAGTGGTTTTTGAGCACTTCCAGGGATGGTTCCAATGCTTGACAGTCCTTTCTGTGAGGAAATTTTCCCTAATATCCAGCATGAGCCTCCCCACTGATGCAACTTCAGGCCAGCTCCTCTCATATTGACCAATACCCAAGCAGTGAGTTTAAATACAAACCATGAAACAGGGTGGACATCACTCTAATTTACATTTTAAAATTACGAGTACACTGATTCTAAAAGGCAGGGGGAAAACCTCCAACACTTTTTGCTTTCCTTACACACATATATTGAGCCCAGTTGTTGCACCAAAAAAAACCGAAAAACACCATCACATGAGCTCTGATGTAAAATATATTTAGGGAAACAAGTGGGTGCTTAGTACAAACATGCCAAATATTTTTTAGGGTTATTTTATGTGAAATATTAAACATGATGTATTTTCAAGAAACTGAACTTAATTGTAAATTGCTTTCTCAAACTCTGCCGTGAAGGGCACCTGGAGATGTTGTGGGAACATACTGCAAAGCTGATCAAAATTGTATTTTTCCAAACAATCATACCTGGGAATTCTCTCCAACAGCTTCTTTTCATGAAAGCTGAAAATCAGAAATTTCAGTTTCTAGTGCTTATCCAGAGGAGCTGAAAAAAACCTTACACCAGAATAGACAAAGGAGAAGCTTCTTTCTTGCTACTCCATCATACTCCATCATAGTGATGGACTCTGTATACAAAGGTGATACTATTTGAAGTGACAATCTTATTAAGAGATCTTGAAATGGAACTTTTTTTCCCCCAGAAGTACTGTGTTACTCTTCCACCCTGTGCCTACAAGTGTTCCAGGCCAGGTTGGATGGGCCTGAGAGCAAACTGGGATAGTGAGTGGAAGGTGTCCCTATCCATGGCAGAGGGTGGCACTGGATGATCTTCAAGGTCCATTTCAGCCCAAACAATTCTGGGATCCTACAACATTCCAGAACTGGGATGCTAATTTCAGCATTAAAAGCTTCCCAGAAAATCTTCCTTAAAATATGCAACCGTCCACAGCAGCAAAACAGATTTGTTCTTTGGGAAAAAAACATCACCTGAACCTAAACATGGAATCAAAGCCTCTTGCAACGCTGTATTTGAGGCTCTGCCCTGGGCATGACAGGACCAGACCTCAGCTGATGTCGTCATTATCTTCTCATCAGATCCAATTAATAAAAATAAAGCAGAAATAAGGAAAAGTAGGAGCCTATTTTTTTATCAGCAGAGGGCGCTGATAACATTTAGCCAGATAGGAACTGATAGGATTCAGCTCCAGAACACCACAGCTTCCCAAAGTTCACCTCCTTGTTCCAAAGTGGCTCAGGCTGGGGCACCGAGTTGGCTTTGGAAGTCACAGGAGGACAACTGGAAGCACTGAGCCAGTGTTAATATTTTGGGAAAGATTTCATTTCACATCTCATTTCAGGAACACCTGACAAAACCAAGTTCAGGTTGGACAGAGCTTGGAGCATCCTGGGCTCCTGGAAGGTGTCTGTGCCCATGACACAGAGCTGGAATTAGATGTGCTTGAAGGTGCCCTCCATCCCAAGCCATTCTGCGATTCTGTGATATAAAAGGTATATTTCAAATATGTATTTTAACATATAAAGTGTATTAATTTAACATTTAAAGTGTATTACATATTTCATATATTTTATTTCACTATCAAACACAGACGAAAAGCTGTGATTTTTCCTGATGCTTATTCCTAGAATTAGCATTATTTCCATCTTTTCAAAAGATCAGCTTTGCATCAGTGCTGCAACAGAAAATGACCTTTTCTTTTTCTGGAAGTAACAGGAAGGAGATAGAAAACCATACCCCGGTGTCAGAAGGGCACAAAGAAAATAAAATGTTTAAGAAATGTTTCCCCTTCATCTTTTTAACTCCAGCTTCAAGCCCAAAACGTGGCCCTTCAAACAAGCTCCTTTCTGCTTTTTGGTGGAGTTTCTGCTGTCCTAAGACTTTTTCTGTTCCTACTTCCCCTTTTCTTCCTCATCATCTGTTTCCTCCCTTCAGCTGGGCAGTGATTCCTCCTTCCCTGCTGCCCACACATCCCCTCTGTGCTGTCATCCCTTGGCAGGAGGCAGGGGAAGGCCAACTGCTCCCTGACCAAAACCACTGAGACGCGCTAAAAAGGAGGATGCCCAAAACTGAACCAAAAAATTCAAAACACCTGTGTTCTGCTTCTAACACAGAACAGCAACCTGGTGATACTCTTAGAAAGAGATGTTAAAAGGAGTGAGGAGAAGCTGGGAGGGGCTCAGCCTGGAGAAAAGGAGGCTCAGGGGGCACCTTCTGCTTCTGCACAACTCCCTGGCAGGAGGATGCAGCCAGGTAAGCTCTGTACCCAAGGAACAGGATGAGGAGAAATGGCCTCAAATTGTGCCCAAAGGGTTGTCCAGCCCTGGCAGAGCTGCCTGGGGCAGTGCTGGAGCCACCATCCCTGGAAGGATGTAAAAGTTGTGTGGATGTGGCACCTCTGGACATGGTTTAGTGCTGGCATTGGCAGTGCTGAGGGAACAGTTGGATTTGATGATTTTAAAGGGTTTTTTCCATCCTTAATGATTCCATGTTCTGTATGGTCAGGAGCAGAACAGCCTCAACTCTACCAATGCAGAAAACCAATCACAGTATGGGAAACTGGTGAAATGTTACTGGGATATGCTGGCACAAGGAAGAGAATATTCAAAAGACCACTCAAATGCCAAAGAAACTGAAATATTTTGGGTACCTTTCCCTTGCCATATTTCCCTTCAGGACAGCTGCTATTTCAGAAGGAAAAACTGGGGGGAGAGAGGTTGGCTCAGGTGACAAAGAGCTACCTTTCTACTTGATTTACAGAGGTCCCCAGAGGCACAGCCTGAGGCCAGGGTTCATTTCTGCTTTCTACCGTGCTGCTGGAGGTTTTCCACCCCTCATCCTTCTGCGTCTCAGCAATACCAGGGTGTTGAACCCTTCCACACTGCCATGCACATGGAAACTGGCTGCAGAATTTCCCTACACAACTGATTTACCTGCCCAAATTCAATGAGGGCATCTCCATGCTGAGCAAGAAAACCATCACAACCAGCACACAGTGAAAGTATTACTTAAAATTTCCTTGCAAGTCATAGAATCCTGGAATGGTCTGAGTTGGGAGGAGCCTTAAAGCTCACTGTGTTGCACTCCCTGCACCTTCCACTACCCCAGGTTGCTCCAAGTCCCATCCAGCCTGGCCTTGGACACATCCAGAGATCCAGAGGCAGACCCAGCTTCTCTGGGCAACCTCTGCAGGGCCTCACCACCCTCACAGGGAAGAATTTCTTCTACATATCTAACCTAAACTTCCCCTTTTTCTTCAGTGCTGGAAGTCCTACACTCCCTCTCCAAGAGAGCTGCCAGGACATTTTTCTCTCACCGCAAATCTCCTCCTTGCAATGCCACAGCCCTGTAGCAAAGGGGAAAAGACAGGACATGGCTTGGCCAGCTTGGAAGTGTCAATATGGTCTGAAAAGGCCAGCTGGAAATGAGGGCTGCACTTACCCTGGGTGCCCACCAGGACCATGGGGATTTCACTAGTGTTGCGATAGTTGGCCATACGGCTGTAGTAGTGGTAAACAGTCTGGAAGCTGACTTCATCCTCCAAGCTGAACACAAAGATAACAGCATCCACCCACATGGCAAACTGCAGGATAAAAATGGAAAAGGCCAACTGTGAGAAGAGCAGCAAAGGGAAGGAAGGAAAAACAAGAGAGAAACATTCTTACCTTCCTGCAAGGGAAACACACACCAGAAAAACTCACTAACAATCCAGGCCTCAATAGGGGGATGGATAAGCTGCTAAGATGATGAATCTCATCACCCTGCAAGCCACGGGGCTCTGGGATACACAAGGCATTTCCCCACAAGAGCATCTCTTCTTGACTGGGGTGTGTGAGCACCAGCCCAGTCAGTGCACACTGGGTTTGACTCCCAGAAAACACAGCAGGCCAAGATTGCTGGATCTGTGCATTTGAAATGAGCAGCACTCATCTGCAGTGCTGAGTCCCCATGCTGTGATTTGCATGCACACATGCTGATGTTGCTGGCAATGCCACGACAGGCATTGATAGGAATTCTCACATCTTAATCCATGCCCAAAAGCATTAATTTGAGACTTCCAATTCTTCACCATACAGACACTCTCAGCTGAGCCAACAGCACCAAGTGCCTTGTTCTGCTTTCAGTGGAAGAGCAAACTGCTCTCTCTTGGCATCAGGAACCTGCTGAGAGACATGCAGGTGCACAGGACAAGCCAAGGTGCTCCTCAGTGACCATGCAAAATGAGAAGCTTTGAGCTCACAAGTGAATTAAGATTATTTAAAGACATTTAACTTAACAGTGAACATGAACAGGACGTCAAGAAAAAAACTCCAGCTTACCTCACTGCCTTTATTTTTCCCTAAGTGACTCCATTCCTACCCAAATTTAGAGCAATGGAAACAAGCTTCAGCCAGGGGATTTTCATGCTCTGTGTTATATTATTACTACTATGTGCCAGGGGACACACTGAACAGGGAGGTTCACTGGGGAAAGGCTCTGCATATTCATGACAATTGTATTGAAACCAAGCACTGCCTGGGCTGTTATGGTGCAAAAATAGACAAAAAATTGTTTTGAGCTTTTGAATCAGGAGGACAAACTTCTAGAGGGGAAGGACAGGACTGGTTAACACATAGCACAGTCACTGCCAGAATAAGGTCAACCACCACACTGTTAAACTGTTCGAACCACAAGATGCAACCAGAGGAACTGGAGACAGCAGCATTATTTGGGAGTTGTGGGCTTGCATCTCATTATAAAATGGTTTTTGTTGACTGGACTCAGCAGCATCATGCCAAGGACTCTTCCCACCAACTGCAATGTCCTTAAGGCATCCATTTGGAAGCCAACAGTCTCTCTAAAACTGCTGAATGTTTGAGCAGTGTGTAGAGCAGCCTTCTAATAAAGATCATTTTAAAACACTCCACAGATTTACACAGTGCAGTTCCTGCAGACAAAACATTTCCAGCAATTCCTTATTTCTCTTTTCATATTGAAATACAGCTTAATCTTTGTGGATATCAGACCTGTGGTACAGAAAACCAAAGGAATTTCAGGAAACGCAAGGTCTCAGGAACGCCTGAATGTCTCATCCAGAGTAATGTGCAGGGAATAGCTTGAAACAAGAACAAATCAGGTGCTGGTATAAAAATCCATTCTCAGACTTATTTATTAATGTGAGTGAGCAGAGCTGTCAGTTCAAGGCAAGCCCAAAACCAAATTATAAAATAAGTTTTAAATTAAAAAAGTTGCATGCAGCAGGTCATTGTAGGTCAGTGTCTTGGTTTAGGGCAACTTTGGGAGGACTGGGGATACAAACATCATAAAGTCACCCTAGGTCAGTCAGTCACTAGGTTAATTTGATTTTACAATAGGAAATTGAATTGTTTTCATCTTTGAACCATTTTATCTTAGGCAAAGAAAGGAGAGACCACAGACCCACAAGAAGAATCTTCAGGGAAGTTTGCTTTTTCTCCAATTCTGCGCAAAATAATGGGACAGTAACCTGGGGAATAGCCATGACCCAGTGCCAGGAACTCCAGGTGTCAGCTCCTTATTACTGCAGTTGGAATTCAATCCCAATTATTCATGAACCCACAAGCATTGCAGGAATTAATCAAATGATTAAAGATTTTTTAATAGACATATAACTTGAAATTACACCCAAAAATCCAAAGGGAATTTATGGGAAAGGTGAGATAACACTGACACCTCAAACCTCTTTGGTAAATCCTAAGGATGGAGAACACATCTCAGCCACCAGAGAATCCCAGAATAGTTTGGGTTGGAAGGAACCTTAAAGCTCATCCCATTCCAACCCCCTGCCATGGGCAGGGACATCTCCCACTGGGCAGCAGCAATCAAAGCCCCAGATTTACCTGGCACATACCAGGAGCACACCCTGTGTTGTTCATCCTGTGAGCTCTGCAAACCCAGTTCTTCAGCACAAAACCATCTCAGATTGCTGCATGTACCTTTACACCTCCACTGTTGACATTTTTAGATGAGTGAATGTTCTCTAAGCATCAGAGGCTGGAAAGCAGGGGAATGCTTCAGCCAAATCCCTCCCAGCCCCAGACAGAGCTTTCCTTGTTGCTCCTGCTGACACGGCTGCAGATGTGCCAACGTTTTATTTTGTCCTGTGACTTCCTTCCAGGATGTCTCTCTCAGCCTCCATTTCCTCCACGTCCTTTCTCTTCCCCTTTGTCCTGGCACCTTCCCCCACGCTCTCACCCTCCTGGAGCTACAGTGGTGCATTGAGACCCAAGCGGCTGCTGCTGGCACCGCTCCCCCTCAGCTGTTTGGCAACAGCGCAGTTCCTGATGCTAAATTATTGCTTGTTTGGAAGCTGATCCCTCCTGCAAGACCTGAACAAAGCATGGACAGCAGCAGCCAACACTCAGGAAATCCTGCCAGTGCCCAGGTGAGGAGAGGTAGAGGAGAAGGAAGAGGATGCCCAAGACAAGGATGGTGCCTGCAGAAAGGGTGGCTGGGTCTGAGGTGATTCAAGCAGCACATGAGCAAAATCTTACTCAAAACAGAGTAAGGGTCAAGCACACAAACCCTTAAGTGTCTTCACAGCCAATGGCTTGGACAGTCTGGGAGAGCTGGGGGGTTCCAACCTGGAGAACAGAGCCTCTTCCAGAGGGGCTTCAAGAGGGCTGGAGAGGGACTTGGGACAATGGCCTGGAGCAGGACAGGACACAGGGAATGGCTTCCCACTGCCACAGGGCAGGGTTACATGGGATAGTGGGAAGGAATTCCTCCATGGGAGAGTGGTCAGGCCCTGGCACAGGGTGTCCAGAGCAGCTGTGGCTGCCCCTGGATCCCTGGAAGTGTCCAAGGCCAGGCTGGACAGGGCTCGGGGCAGCCTGGGATAGTGGAAGCTGTCCCTGCCCATGGCAGGGAGTGGGAGTGAGACAGGCTTTAAGGTCCCTCCCCACCAAAATCATCCTGGGATTCTATGAAATCCTGATGTGTCACCAGGGGAAGCACACTGCTTGGGATTCAGGAATAAATATATATATGAATGTATAAATTCATATATAAATTTATATGTATAAATGAATTGTATATTCTTACTTGCATGGTCTCAGTCAGAATCCCAAATATTTGCTACCCACACTCATCCATCCATCATAACTGAAACCCCAACCATTTTCTGGACAAAATCTTTTTTCACCTGAGGGTGATGCTGGAATGAGCTGGATGATGAGAAGGACCCAGGACAGAACAAAGCAGAGGCAGTTCTTTCAAAGGAACTTTTGAAAAACCAGGAAAGCGAAGCTTTGGGCTCACCTGTGCCTCCGGAGGGCCTCCTTCATCTCTGATCAGCAGCAGGTAGCTTTGTCCATCAACCACTATCTCCTTCTTGAATCTCCCACCTGCCACACAAAGCAGCTCATTACAGACAGCAAAGGTGCAAAACACTCAACAGAAAAAGGCTTCGCTTGTGGAAAAAAAGATCTTTTGCAAATTAACCAGCGACTGGAATGTAACTGATACGTGCACACATGGGAATTACTTAAAGTTATTATTTTCTACTTCAAGTTAAGGCATGTACTTGCCACATATATATATACACACATATATATATGTATAAAGAATAAGGATAATGTGGGAAAAAGCCAGCAATTGCACTACAACCCACTTTAGGTGTCCTTGGGTTGATACATACAGTTAAAACCCTGTATGTATCACCTCATTTAAATAACTGTGAGAGAGAGAAGTGTCTCTAAGAAAGGCAAAGTTGCACACAAACAACATTGTGTCTCATCACCAAAATCAGCTTCTTGTATCAATCAGCATTTCCTCAAGGGAAGCCCAGTTCTCAGAGCACACGTGGGATGTTATGGGAATGAGAGTTCTACACTCACACACCACAGTTAGGGGAAGATACCAGACACATGTTAGACAAAAAAGCTACAATGGTGCTACCTCTGGAGAGATGTGCTAAACTAACAGAGAACCCTGTGCTGCTGACTGGGGATGAATCCCAGACCTGCTCTGGACACCTGGATAAAGAGACTGGAGCCGTAGCCTCCAACCACATCCTATTCCTGATCCTGTATTTGCAGGGAATGCAGAACAGAGGTGCCTGTGACCACCAAAGAGGCTCCAACCCCAGCAGCTGGAGCAGCTGCTCTGTCACCTCCTGTCCCCTGGCTCACAGGGACTCAGCCACCACCCCAGGGCAAGGTTGGGATTGCTTCTTTTGGGGCTAACTGTGTATTTCAGGCACTCTGCTGCCTTTCTCAAATGACAAATCCCATTTAGGGCTTCTGGTGTGACGGAGCCTAAGCCAGGATTAGCGAGCTTGGCCTAAGCACTGGGGAGGCATTTAGGCTCCTCTGCTGGAGCAAACCCACTCTCATCTCCCCACCTAAACCTCAAAGCCCCCAAGGCCTCCAGCTTAGCATCACCCACCCTCACAGCTGAGCTTCCCGCACTGAGATAAAACACATCCCTTAACACACCCTAAACTTCGCTCTTCACCCCTATTTCTTAAACTAGGATTAGTTCTGATTTGAACCCTATTTTTCAGCTTCCAAACTCGTCATTCTACCAAAACCAATGCACTGAAACATGGGCTGAGAGCCAAAGCTCTGACCTGCTCTCCAAATGAGCTCCCCAAACAAACAAGTCAGGCTAATGTCGATCCTCAAAATGCAACAATCCACACAACAACTGCTGCCTTAGGGGAACCCCACACTGGCTTAGACCCAGCATTCCCCCCCAGCCCAGCCACAACAGCAGCTTTAAAACCAGGATTACTCCCCAGCTCAGCTCTGTGCAACGTTTAAGCATGTTTAAACACATTCTGTGTTTAATAAAAGAGGTAAGAATGGGAGGTTTTGTGGGTTTGCACTGGGGTTTTTTGTTGGGGTTTTTTTTAATATTTTCTTTATAAACATATCCTATTAGCAGTATTAAACATGCAACAATTAAGACTATCACATTTCTGGTTGTTTAATGGCACAGAAGGAGCAGAAGAGCTATGTATGGATTTTCATTATCTCGCTCACAAAGTGGATTTCAATCCTGCCTCCGCAGATCAAGTGGCAGATAAATATATATCATTACTGAACCTGAAAAGAACAATCCCAAACAAGTGTAAGACTTGTAAAGGAAACCAGTCTCAGCTCTCAGGAACTGGATTTCTATTAATCAGGCCATTATTTCCATACATTGTCGATTAATTGCATGCGCTTCCCAATGAAGTGTTAACTAAGATGAATTACTTCATATAGAGCCCTCCAGAGAGGGGTTTTAAAGCTGTAAGCAACAGTGGAAATGCAGTATATGAGTGATCAGAGAGGGAAAGTTCTGCCTAATTGCCATTTCCTATTTCTTTTTTTTTTTTTTAAACACTGCAAGTTCCCCCAGCTAATTATAAAATACCACACACCGAACATGTTTAGGAGCCAACTCATTATTCCCATGGTCAACAGGATGCCCTGCCAGTCTCACTGTACCTTCAGAACACTCCTCAGAGGCACAAAGAAGGTACAGACAGGATGGAATAAAAATAATAAGTTGAGAATTGAAAAATATAAAGTGTTTGAGTGTACATACCCAGCTCACAAACGTGAGCCCTAAGAGATTTACTCTTCAGGATTTGACTGTTGAGGGCAGCTTGGAAAAGGGCACTAAATTTAATAAATACAGCGTAAGTCAGCCAGCAACTCTTTTCCTTCATGAATCCACAGTAAATTATCACCTTGGGGACCTGCTCCTTGCCTTCCCAAAAAACACTGGGCGTGGAGCTGAGTGCAATTATTGTTAATTCCAGTATTGAATTCAGACCCGGATGGGCTGTTCCACTTCACCGAGGGCTATCACCCTGCTGCAGCCAACAGGCACAGTCAGCTCAAATCTGCTCAAGTGGCTTCTTCACCCTTAAAAGCAGGATGTGCTCATTAGCTGGAATAGGCACATCCTCACAATCCTTGATTTTTGTTTGGATTTAAGTATTTCACGACAAATAGTCTGAATTTTAACACCCCTCCAACCAAACTGTTTCAAAGAATGCCCTGCATTTCCAAGCTGTACTAAATATTTCAAAACAAATCTGAAGGCTCAGAAATGGAACAGCAAACTCATGCTCATCCCTTGAGTAAGAATTATTTTATGCAAATCTCAGCTCACAGCAGGATTCGTCCTTAATAATTTGTGTTTCTACACCATTAAGGAGCCCTTACCATGAGCACACCACAAAATTAGGTGCTGCACAGGAGAGAGATTAAGAAAACCTACCTCAATATCACGAATTTACACAAACAAAAGCATTAACAGTGAATAATATAAAGGCCCTGCAAGTATCTGTGGTTGTAGGATGAAAGCAAACAACAAATTGCTTCTGCCTTTGATTTGATGAGCCTTGATGAGACCCATGAGCAGCTTGGGCAAGGACAGCGATTTTGGGACAGTTCAGCCTGGACAGCAGCACGTGCATTATTTTTTAAAATTACATCTAGGAGTTTGTAAAGCACCACAGGCAAAGAGGAATCAGAGAGATCAGCCAGTTCAAATATTGGACTACAGCAACGCATGAGTAAACCAAACACTCTCCCAGGGCTACAAAACACCCCCTCGATTTTCCTAAATATCTGCATATGTGATGGAGCCAGGAATTACTGTCTAAACCAATGGTACTGAGAACAAAGAAATGACCTTTTTAATGTAAAGAACGAGCTCAAAACCCACATCCCCTCTCCCAGGGGAGGTGGCTGGCTTTGCTCTGGTCCCATCAGGATTATGACACACGCAGCTTTTTAATGAGGGAGCTTCTCAGCTCCCAGCTGTACCTGCCAGGGGAGGCCGTGGGGAGGGGACGACTGGTGGCCAAAGGAAGGGGCACCACAGGCACTCCAAGGCAGTTATTCCCAGTTTTCCAAGGCTAGAACAGTATCATCCATTCACACAGGCTCATTTTTAGATGAGCACACCATTTTTACAGGTGACAAATGCTGCTCCTGTGCCCAAACCCACCCTGCACAGGGTGGGAGGGACTCGTGAAGCAGCCCACAAACCACCCCGCTCTCTCAGGTGCATCTGGCCACACTCCTGCTGTAAAATGCCCCACATAAATACACAGCTTTGATCAACATAAAGCTAAATAAATTCTGTGCTAAATAAATTTACAGCCCTGGCTGAAGACCCGGCACAAATTGGAATTGGGAGGATCAACAACAGCTTCCTGATCTCATTTTCATGCACGACGCTCCGTAGGCGAACGCGCAGAATCAGCGGCGGCGCAGAAATTAACCAGCAGAAATCGGTATTAATTTTAAACACTGCACACATTTGTAATCAGCAGTGCTCTCTGTTACAAAAGCTGGATATTACATGGGGAATTCCGGGGATGAAGGCTTTAATCCAGGCTCTGACAGCCTGGCCACCCCCTCCTCTCGCCAAGAGCTGTTCCACCGCGTAATTGCTCACCGGAGCAGCCGCTGATTTTCTTGCTCTATCCCCAGGCTCCACTGTGCTCACCAGGCTCTTTATTCAAGCAAATTGCCACGGGGATGAAGTTATTTAGCCATATGAGAAGGATAAATTCAGGGGGCTGGCCACACGACAAGCGCAGGCAGCAGCTGAACATCTTCTGTGGCACGGCAAGACAGAAGGTAGGACTGAGGCAGCTCTAAAAGCCTGTATTTTATATTCCCAGTGACATGTGCATTTTGACAACAGCAGCCAGTTGTCTCACACATGCACATTCTCTCCCTTTTTTTTCCCCCCAGAAGATAGAAAATAGTGCCAAGAACCTGGCTCCTCTTCAGGGAAACACATTCAAAAATTCTCCGTTCAAACAGATGGCCCAATAGTGGTCTTCTGGTTTGCTACTCACATTTTTTATTTAAATAAACTAATTTTAAAATGTTTTTCACATTCCACAGCATTTCCACAAAACAAAACAAAACAAAGGAAAAGATTCTTTCCCCCCAGAAGGTGCTGGGGTACCACCCAGGCCCCTCAGGGAACAGTCATGGCCTCAAATCCTGCCAAAGCTCCAGGAACATTTGGACAATGCTCTCAGAGATGCACAGGGTGGGATTGTTGGTGTTGTAGGAATCCAGAAATGGAGAAACATTTCTCTGTTTGTCCTATTCTCCAAAAAGGTGTTCACCTTGTCTGTCACTGACAGAAAAACTGCCAAATATCCCTGGGTAAACCAGGATTTATAAAAAATTAAGTAGAAAGTAGTAGAATGTTTAGTATGTCACTGAAGTGAAATATATAGATTTTAGAGTGTTTAATACATGGAGTAAAGATAGAAGAAAAAAGGTGTAGTTCTTAACTCTCCTTCTTCTCCATGATTCTGCAGTTTTTAGGAGCACGAAGAGTGATTGGTTGAAAGTCAGTCACAGTTTTAGTTATG